GATGTTTGATGCTATCTATGAGGAAAAGACGCTTCGAGACGCAATTGAATTCAGAGATGAAGACAAGTTGGGTACTACTGAACGGGGCAAGATCGGAGACCGTGTGAAGAAATTCGCTTCTCAATTCCATGTGCAGCCAAACGACCTAGAGAGGAAAAATGCGGAGCTGACAAATGCTTCTGCATACCTGATGGGCGCAGCCCCACGCCCTAACAAGATTGTCAAGTTTGACTTTTTCCTCATGCACACCGTGACTAGCTCCATTTTCCTCTCCGCATTTCTGAGACAGGACTGGATCAAAGATTCTGACAAGGCTCGGCTACTTGCGTGGAAGTCAAGATATGATTTGGTCGAGTACGTTGCACGAGGGGCGCCGGAGTTGCGCATTGAGGTGATAAGAAACTACAAACCCAAACAGCCATCAGGGTGGGACGTTCTCGAGGATCGTGTGGTGGCAGTACCCGACGATGGGCATGCTGCTAAGACCGTTCGAGCCCTGGCTCACGGCCAGCGCATCTGCGAGCCCTACGAACATCGACCGGAGTTTCGCATCAAGCATGATGATTGGTTGCAGCTAGCTCACATGACTATTGACTCTGTTGAGGGACCGGGAGACGAATGGATTCGGAACACGGGATTTGATGAGGCTTGGAAGAATGTTCCTGCACGCCAATAAGCTCGTCACAAGATATCACCTTGGCCAGATGTGCTGATTAGGGTCGCCAACCTACGATGTGATGATGCTTACCTTTGAAGGGTTTACTGGATTATTATACATTAGAATGTGTGTACGAAGTCATCCTTGGCAGGGAAATCTCAGTGAAAACTAGGAATGCGTACGCTGTTACGAGTCATGTGTCTGCACGTAAGCAACTTCTTAGGCTGTAAGCAGTATTGCCATTTCCTGATCCTCGTGGGAGTGCCTTGGAGCATCTTCACTATAATGACATCTGGAAGGTTTGGATGCTTCTATCGTTAAAGGGCTACTTATCTTCACTGGCAAGGCTTGCGTGAGCCGTAAATTTCATTGACAGAGCGCGCGGCTTTGTGCGTACTTGGTACCCGGTAATTGGGCGGCGAATCTACACAGAAGACGCGGGTACGGAGGTTTAGCAGTCATTGGTTTCTGGAGATGCGTCTCAGCTAAAGCTCATCGTGTTGAGGAGTTTGTTGTGGCACGCGATGGCCGCTGTGTACCTTCTTGCACTTATTTAGTCCAATGGAAACTGCGATGAAATAGAAGTGGACGAAAACATGAATCACATACTATCTACTGTATAGTTGACTCACATTATTCTTCGCCTCCATGTGGCGTCAATTCCCCCGCAACGGCTTCAAACACTCGTTATAACCTCTCTTCACCCTAAGTCTCGTCCCCGCTGTACTCGGCGTGGTTTTGTCAATGGTACCCAGTGTGGTCTTTGCGTCATCGCCTTCACTCTCTGCTGCACGCTTAGGTTCAGCTTACACGTTGTAGTAATTCACGGGATGATTCACATGCCCTTAAGTACCTGTTACACGCTCACGTTCGGCACACATGTAGAAGTTATCCGCGGGATCATTGACCCATTCTCTAGGACGCAGAGGCTGGATGAAGAATCTAATATGGGGAAAGAGGTCAATGAGCGCCCTCAACATTGAGCATTTCAAAATAACACGCTCTAGCAAACTCATACGTACGGGCAGCAAGAAACGCATCTTCCGACCTGAGGAGTCGACGCTATCCCGCGAAGGTGACGAGGAGGCTCTTGTGGCCGAGATACCCTTCACTTGTGTACAACTTCATGGCGGCGTTGACGTCGCCACCATTACAATGGAGCAAACGTTGGAGCTGGGCCGAACGACCCATCTGTGCCTTGATTATCTGCGACGTGAAAGTTGGTTGAGGACGCCACAGCTCCAAACGAGACGTTTGTGTCCTAAAATTGTCCATGACATACTTGAATTGGTTTACGCGAGCCTTGGCTTTGCTGAGACTAATTCTGGCGACTTTGCGGCTTCGATCGGAACATACGACGCCCATGTAGTGCCACACGCTGTCGAGAATTGTTTTTGCCGCGATCTTGTCACGCCCGAACACTTGCTTGCTGACCTTGCGCCCATAGAATTTGATCAGGTAGTAGGCCATGCCACTTGTGCATGCAAGAATGCCGTAGTGCCACAGTTCTGACCATTCTGCATTGGGATATAGGGTTTTGGAAGATCGAAAGCCCGTAGACTGGTATCTTTCTGCGTTGAGCACAAGTCTTCTTTGCATAGCTGCGAAGTTTGCCGCAGCTATGGGGAAAGCAGCTGGCTTTGTAACGCTGGATTCCAGTACGGAAGCGAAAGCAAGTTTAATGCATGCATTATTATCCGCAATCGTGCTTTGGTTTAGAGATGGAGGACCGGTGTTAATATTAGCGTGGGTATTGGCAGTTTTGCTGTCCGCTGGAGCTTCTTTCTTGTAGGTAGTAATATCAGAAGGGGTGCACTCTTCATGGATGAAGTGGGTGGCCGTCTGACCGCCGGAGCTAAGTTGATAGGTTCGCTTCTGAAACATTGAGGAATGGGGTACAGTGGTCGAAGATTCGTGAAGCTTTGGATAGGAATGATTGCGCAATCTTTGCGGCGCCTGTTCAGCCTAAACACCATCTGCGCAGTCCTGAAGCCCTTTGGCACCCGATTAGCTCTATCACTCGTGTCGGAATGGTAATTTGACTCGTAGTGAGACATTTCTCATACTTAAAAGCCTTGTGGTCTGTTCAACTGAGAATATGCCTGTCGATGTTAAATGCTCATCATTAGCTCAATTCAAAGGGAATCGAAAATATGCGACTTATCATAGTATACCAAGTTCAGAAATGACTGAGAGTGTCTACAGCCTGCGTCGATTATTTCAGATTGGTGAAAATACCTATGCTTGTGGTATATTGTATTACAAGTTCAAAGCATTTCTCGCCATGATTCGTCGACATCGCATGTTGGAATTTCTCGAGACAGATGTTGATGGACTACTGACGTTGGGTGCTACCACTGTTTTCAGTCCATTTCGGCTTTGGCACGCAAAGATCGATGTGGCCCATGTTATTGACCGCACCTCCATGAATGCCAACTCCTCTATGGTTCATTGCCGGCGGTGTAAAGTACACTGATCTATACGCTGTTCTAAGGGGCTCTGTTGGAGAGTCTTACACGATGTTGGATGGAACTGTTTCGATGGGAGTTGGCAGCGTGGACAACCGCGTAAGGCTGAGATGGAAGAACTAACAGCGACACCATCATCATACCCTGCATGCGCAACCCAGCACAACTAAGATCGTGCCAAGGTGGTCTCGTACTCGTTAAATTTGTGTATGATTTGTTTGGGATGGCTGACTTCGGATGAGTGGTGTCGTATGTGCCACATAGATTTCATACGCTATGCTGAGGCAACGGCTCCAACCACGTTTTCGCTAGCGGGCACCTCGGCCTGGACATGTTTGGCCGTGTTAGCTATGGCCTTGGACCGTGAAAGCTGAGAGCTAGCTGGTATCAGCTTCGGTCTAGAAGCAATTTACACGCCCTGCAACGGTAGGGTTGGCTGCGCGCTGGCAGCATTTTTGGCAGAGACTTTCTTCCTTGCCGCCAGCGGCTTGACGGCTGGTTCCTTGAAACAGCTAATCTCTTATGATTGGCTTCAATTGGCTCCAAATTTGCAGTTTTAGCCATGCGCATTGGGGGCTGCGATGGTTGCAAGCCTACGGACTGGCTCACCGAGGTCTTCATTACTGCCCGTTGCTTGAAGGTGGCTTCTTTTGCCGGGACAAGCACCATCCTCACCCATTCCACGCCGGGGTTTTGATTGACCTGCAGGTAGGGTCGCACCATTTCCTGATCATCTTCATCAAGTCGAGCGAAAGTGATGCAGCTACCGGGCACAATGTTTCGTCCAGAGAAAATACGCCTTTAGCCATGTTAAATTGTTCGGTGATGAGTGGGAGTGTTGTGTTGCGTTGCGTTGTGTGGTGTTGGTAATCGGTGGAAGTGTGATGAGGAAGCAGAGAAAAGTTTTCGAAATCTTTATCCGCAGGATGCTACTTAAAAAGGCTATCACAATCACATGAAAGATGGTTCAATAGAATTTTGCGCGACGCCAAAGTGGCTGGCGAGATAACCGGGTATACCGGCAATACCGTGACCCACTTGCTGTGGGCAGCCAGTGCACCAAAGAAAAACCCCGGGAAAACTTGGATATAGACGCGAGTCCATGCGTACCGTATAATATTAACTAGATGTCCCAGTCTTTGGCTTCCTTGCACTAAGACATTTCTTGCTTAAAGCAGGTGCCAAATCTGACGCAAGATTGCGAAGTGTGATTTTCGCATGCACAGAAGCCCGCTTCCAGCTACCAATTATATTACCTCCTATTGACCTCTCCTGTTGTGCAGTTCGCCACGGAGCGATCCGCAGGTGATGACCCACATTCCTGACCAGGGTTCGAGTACTCAGGAATTTTCTTGTAGCTCTAGATACACGTGTATACTGACACACCTGTGAGGTGCCGCTGCTTATTGGAACATCTCCGATGCTTGGAAACATCTGTCCTCTAGGACCGTCAAATCTCACTGTAGCAAGGCGTAGCCAAGAACTATAAAGTGAAATAGAGGCATAAAATCTAAAAGATGTTCAATGCATGTTGTCGTGAAATGAACTGAAGCCTGGAAAGAAGCTTTACTGCGTGATCTAGTTTGCTTGGAATTCCGCCACGCAAGTCTCTTCCAGCATCGAGAGTTTTGGCAAGAACGAATTGATTCGAGCAAATGATACAATATTTAGCACGGAATTGGATGATATAAGGCGAGCATGCCTATAAGCGCAGTGATTCTGCAAGATGCGCCACTTGTTGCCATAGCCAGATGGAGTTTGGTCACAATGATTCGGCTGGGTTAGAATGATGCGTAGGCTATGCGCAAAACACTGCCATGATCAGGCTTCGTCAACTTGATCTTATTTCCAGCAACCTTCAACGATAAAACTTTCGCTAGGCTAGTCGCATATAATGTTATATTGTGTCACCCCCAAAGTTACAGTGAACTAATAACTTTGGATGACAATCAGGATTTTGTTCTATCCTTACTACTGAGCTCTCTAATCCGTCGTTACCAGGACTCGAATAGTCTTCAACTGAACCAAAACATCCTTCAAAGAAGTGATTCTGTCATCGCGCGTATCTTGCCTAAACACCCACCTTGCAGCAACAACCACCTATCAGCATCTCGCGCAGCAGCATGTAAAGGAACAACAGTGCCAGAATTTGAGCCCATGAGGGCAATTAGCTGCCACACTTTCATCATGTCCACCGTTTCATCGGTTTTAAGAGGCGGCCAGGCGTTAGAAGGTGTCTGCGCGACCACATGTTGTTTGTCGTCGGGGTTCTTGCCCTTTTGTGCCTTTCGAGGTGTAATAGGGACTGCATCTCCCGACTTCAACGAATTTTCCCCCAATTGATGGATCTTGACGCGGCGTTGCCCCAGCTTGCTCAGACCCATCGTTACATTTGTCACACCCGACTCAACCTCTTTCAATTGCTTGTGCAATCGATCAACCCAGGCATGGTAAATAGCTACTCTGCCGTGTTGTTTCAACCCGATTTTCGGCGTTTTGTTTAGAACATTGTCGGTGCGCAGGCCAATTTTGCTGTCAACAATTGTGAAGAGCTGCCGCTGCCTACCTCGGAGTATGGAGATGGCGTTGCTTGATCATTATTCGGGTGCATGTTCGAAGGGCTAGTCTTGGCTTTCTTAGACTCAAAATAGGTCGTTTCTGTTGGGCTTTCCAAAACCTGCGTGTTTCTTGTCGCCGTCACCTTTGGCGCTCAAGCCATTGGTATCATTGTAGACTCTGAGCGTCGTGCACAAGGCAGACTTTTCTTTGACTCCTAACTGGCCAGCATTTCATCATCAAAGCCATAAGTGGTGCGGTCAGGAGATTTGCCGATAGGTTCTCTCTTTTCCTTTGATTGCGTTGCGGGCTTTTCAGTGGCTTGGGTCTTCTGTTCCTTCTGCAGCTTGGCACGTTCGCGTCGTTCCTCCGCCAGCAAAATTTTCGTACTCTCCAGTTGCACCGTAAGCTCTGCCACTTTTTTGCCCTCTCTAGCAGCCCTAGCATTGCTCTCTTCAGCAAGCTTTACACTTTTTTTTTCCAGAGTTCAGTCATTTCGGTGAGACTCTGCTTGGCGCTACCTATTTCCCAAGCGTAGTTCTTCTTGGCATAACTTAATCTCTTGCGTAACTCATTTTTGCTCTTCTCCACACACTTCATCTCCGCTTGAACGCAACGAACCTCCAATCCTGCAGCGTGCAGTTTCTTGCTCACTTCGACATGCTTTTCATCCATGACACTTAATTCATTGGACCAGCGATTCGACTCCTCAGCCAATCTCGTGTAGTCATTTTATGCCACCGTTAGTTCAGGTATGTTGTCTATGACGTTCCGGTTGCAAGTGGTTTCAACGAGGAACGTGGTAGTTTTGTTTACCGTCTTCGAGGGCAGAAGGTCCCTGTTCTCGTTTCTGTGGGGACTCTGCGCGTCTTGCGTGTGATGTTGTTTTGTTGTTTTAGGGATATGCTCCCTGCGTGATAGCAGGTAAGGTTAGTGAACCATTCGGGTGTAGGTTAGACGGATCGATTTCTTCGGGGCGATGCCTGAGTTTTTGTGCTTACTTATATGTATAAACGCACTCAGCCAGCAGCGCTTCCGGCAAGCCATTGGATCCTGGAGACGAGGCATACGGTAGGTGGAACGTTTACATCGCACATGATCAGTACTAAGGTGTTTATGTTGTCTTGCTGCTCGCATATGAGAATGAGCTGCTTCCTGAATGTGCAAACGTACAATGTCTTCTTTCAATCCTTTCCGCCAAGCAAGGGGGTGTGGCTTTTCGAAGTGCATTCACGCACAACGGTGTTTAGACGACTCCTATCACGACCTTCCGACGATCTACGAGGAATCAACGAAAGTGCGGTGTGAAACTGAGGTATTGTCTAAGGTATCTCTATCTGCGGTCGAGCGGCGAGGAGCCGCTCTTGAACCTTACTTCTACATTACCCCTTTATTATAATTGTGAGCAGATGTGTACCTGCATACAAATCTCTACGGAAAACTAGTTGACGCGTGAAGTCGAGAGCCGAGCGACGGTTACTAATA